GGGGGAAGGAAGAAAAACAACAAAAGAGAACAAAAAAAAACTCTCATTAGGTGAAGTAATTTTTTATTTTTGTAAACCGCTTCACGGTTTTGCAGCCATTCCAGTGAAATGCCCCACTATGGGGTACTGTAGCGGCAAGGAGCCACTCCACTCCACCACTACAGTGGCCAATACGGCGACTATTGACAACATAGAAAAGGTTAACATAAAAACTAAAAAGTTAAAATAGATATTAGGATAAGCTACACATTTGTCATCAGTCATACTGTACACCAACCCACCTCAACAATTGAAGAATAAAAGAGAAGAAAAAATTTGAAACACCAGCCAGATATGGTCAACTCAAGAAGGTCTTGCATCATGTGTATGGAGTTTGCAACACAAAAAATATTGTCAATGTATCCAGACCAAGACTCCTACCAATGAATGAGCAACATACCTGATCATGATCAATCTCGGCGTCACTGCTGACATTCCAAAAGATTTGAAGGGGGAGAAGCACCTAAATTATCATCCTCAGACATCAGTATCACACCATTTTTTCACAAAAACATATATATATGTATATAAAAGTTCATGAAAGAAAGCTGCAGGTAATCCTCAGTGTTCAATAAGAATCAAAATCAGTAGCACAAATGTTTGGTGTCAGGTTTGAATAATCCAATGGACCAATAATCATAACTAAAGGTAAAAGCAGTGAAAGTGAAATCGATGGCAAGCCATACTTTCAACAATATTTTTCTTCTAAATATTTTTCTTGCATATTTCATGTCATCTTCAATTACTACTACGGGATACCTTTATTTATCCACCTCAAGGCTCCAGCCAAACACAATATAGGATGACTATTTGTTGCTTGCCACTTGCAACTGATTTTTCTGCCTGTTTGCTAATTGGTGCAAACAGCATTTACTCGCAGCAAGAAATATTTCCTTTCAGCACAAGCACCTCAAGCTGTACGAGAATGCCTGAATGCAGTGAATAACCTGTTACAAACAGGTTGGCATCAACTTCAAACTTCAAAAAAAACACCATTATACTTTGTATCCTAACTTCCACAAATTTCATTATAGTCTACCGCCCTGAAAAAAAAGGTTTATTTTTACATCCTCTTTTTCATACAACACATTCAACACATACATAACTTTAATTCTAGTGCCACATGATACACAAACACCACACAACCTCCTCATTAACTAGCAAACTGTTATACACTCTGACACACCAAGCCAAAATTCATATCTATGACAGCATTCACTTGACCATGCATGTGCTAACCCCACCACAAAGACCATGCGCACCGTGTTCTATATCCATATAGCATTCAAAAAAGGGGAAAATTTTTCCTTTTGTTGCATTCGCAAAGCAGGTAAGACAGTAAAAAAAACAAAAAGTAATGAGCTTTTCTTTGTTTTCACATGATAAAGCAAAAATCCAAAACCGGAAGCCATATACCATAAATTTAGCTGTCAGGTTCGCATTAAAACACAACTGCATTGAGAGACACTTCGCGCGGTAAACAAAACCGATCACCACGTCACGATTGAATAATCGACACTTGTAACCAAACAAGTCAAAAAAAACTAACCTTGGCAACAAAAAACAATTCAGAGAAACAAAAATTGCTGAAACAAATAGAAATTGGAGCCACAGAAACTCGTTGTTCATCGTTCCTTATAAACACCGAAATCATCTATACCTTATAGAGCTATTAAACGATAAAGCGAGAAATAAAAGAGCGAACAATGAAGGAAAAGAAAGAGATAACGTTACGCACCTTGAAGGGAGCAGATAAGGTGGAAAGAGCTCGGGAGTAACGGAGGAATCGAGTAAAGGAATGGAATTTGGGGAAAACAAAGTGAGAGATGAAGAATTTGAAGAAGGAGATAGAAGTTGGGGGAAGAACGCAAAGAGAGAAGAGAAAGGGTTTTTCTTTGGTTTTTTTTTATTTTTTTGGTTGTAGTTGCGTGGAAGACGATGAAATTACAGTGATAAAAATTATATTTAATTAAAATAATTAATTTGATAAAGTTAGCGTTTGGGAAATATAAGTTGTAGAGTACTTGTGTTGTGTTGTGTCTTCTCACTTCTGTCTCTTCCTCTTCCTAGACTCAAAGATTGTCTAATATAATAGGAACGCCGTGTTTGGCTCTCTCTAGTCTTTACCTTCACCCATAAGTTCTATCCAATAAAGTATTCCTTCCACCTCCTTCAAAATTCCAAATACTATCATTATCTTTTTATTACCATGTCTTTATGTATTTTGTGCAGGAAAAAAAAAAAAAAAAGTGGTACCTCTATGCAAAAAGATTGTAACACGTAATTATTTATTGTGAAAGATAAAATAAAAAAGATAATTAAAAAAATGTCATATAATTTGTGAAAATCAAATAAAATAAATAAATAAAAAGGTACATATGAAAAATAGAAACTAAAGCAATTAACAGAAATATATCATTTTTATATTTTTATATAATAGTATAGATTATTTCATTGTATTTGGTAGGATGGATAGGAAAAAAAATATATTAAAAAAATAAAATTTTAAAGGTTTCAAAAATGATTTAAAGATATGAAAACAGGTATATGTAATGACAAAACAAAAAAATTACATCTTTGTCTTATATGGTAAGTTTGTGTTTGTTGATCCTAACTTGTAAATAAATGGTTTCAAATATAATTCATCATAAAAAGTTATTATTTTGGATATAATTTTAATATGTTAAAAGAAAATACTAATAGTATATTTTTTAACATATTTTTGTTATTACTTAAGATTTATTAAAAATATAACTTTTTATAAAACTCATTTCTTATTTAAAAAAAATATTATTATGATTTTCTAATCCTAATAAATAATAATAATAATAATAATAATATACTAAAAAGTATGTGTTAAAAACAATGTTTTATTAACACTCTTTATATCATTTGTTGGTCTCAATTTTTTTCCTGCCACATGTAACTCCGGCTATTAGATTAAAAACTAATTATGTTTATCTTATAGAAGTTTTCATTGTCTTGATTATATGATGAAGATCGAACATAGATTCTCTATTACATAAATTATCTTGTATGAATGATAAATATCTAACCATTATATCAATTCGTCGAATTATTCGTCACCTGATCTCAAATATAAGTAAAAAAATGAATTACTTAATAAATTAGTTAACACTGTTTAAGTGTGTTAATCTCATTTCAAAATATAGGTTTTTATCTCTTAAAACACTTTTCATTGAAATTTGATATCAAGAATTAAAAAAATCATTGAAATTAAAAATCTCCATTAGATGAAAAGTATGTTAGAGAAAGAATGATTAAATGAGGTAAAATTAGTTAAAAAAAATTTGGTAACCATATTATTAATATGGAGTATCATTGAATTTTGTCAATGATTAATCTGGTCAAAAAACTTGATTCTAGTGAATTTTTTTTCTTTCTGATTATATATTTTTTCCTTTAAAAACTTGACTCCTACACTTGAAGAAAGTAATTATAAAAAAAGAAGTCAATAACGTATTAGATACATGAATAATTAATATAAAAATATACATAATCATATATGGATGTGCATATTATCCGTGTAACATGGAAAATCTCTTTATTAAGAGATGCATGAATTGTAAGCAATATTATTGAGCAGAATATAAATCATTCACTTATGCATATCCTATAATAAATAAAATATATGAGTTGTTAATTATGTATTTAATAACTTTGAAGTTGTCATCAAATCATACACTAACATGCAATTAAAAGAATATCTTATTATATAATTTAAATTTTGAATGTAGAGGCTAAACATAATTAGAATATGGTATAAACTTTCTATCATCCCTTCAATAGCATGACTTAACCATCTAAACAAACGCCCATAAATTTTCTTGTATTTGTTTCCCTACTAATAAATCAATTTATTGCTTTCCAAATATTTTGGATTAGATGACCTTAAAATGCCAGGGAAAAAAAAAGTGCACGATGTTAGTAGCATGGTTGCATCATTTGAATTTTCTTTTGTGTTTATATTTTAATGGGGTTATGTGAACTGCTGCACAAGTTTCTTTGCTTTTTATTAGCGTTGCAAGTGATTATCGAAATAGAATAGAGACTGGAAATAGTAAAAATGGCAACAGTACTGAAGGCCCACAACATTGGGTTGTATTGAAACTCAACTGGGTTCTAAGTCCTGAGCACCCACTATAAGTCCCTTCGTAGTAGGCCCATGAGGCCCAAACGGAGCATGCGACTTTGCAACATACCTCTAGAATCGAAAATCGAGATCATATCCGCATGGATCAATTAACTACCAATCCCAAAATAAACATGATATTATAAAATATAAAAAATTATGTGTTATTATATTAGTTTTAAAAATCGGACCGGTCATCGAACCGGTTAAGGTACTGGGTCAGTGGGTCAAAGGTTAAACCAGTAGGTCACTAGTTGAACCGCATGACTTGATTTTTATTTATTTTTATTAAAAAAATATTCATATTAAATATATTTTATACTTATAAATTTTAATAAATTCATATCTTATTTTAAATTTCAATTTTTCTATCTTATTTAAAATTATTTTTATTTTTATTTTGTAAAAAATATATAAAAAATTACATGTTAAACTGTATATTAATACAAATTAAAAATATAAATAATATGTACATATATAATATGTTTGCAATTGATATCACAAAATAATATATGTAATATCTATATATATTATATTATTAAATATATAATATAAAATTAATAATATACTATAAAAGTTATTTAAGTTGTATATTATATAAACAAATACATTAGAACAAGTAGTCATTGTTATATTTAATAAGAATCTTTGTTCTTCCATTAAAAGATTCAATTTTCATTATTATTTTTGTGGTTTATGGTCCCTTAAAAAAATAAAAAAATAAAATAAAAAAAGCGGTTGAACCGGTTTGACCCACCGGTTCACCAGTTGAACCGAAAAATTGACCGGTTCAATCCAGTTTGAAACGGGTCGACTGCATAACCGATTCAACTTAAGGTTCGGACCGGCTGGACCACCGGTTCCCGGTCCAACCAGTCCGACCGGCCGGTTCGGTCCGGTTTTTTAAATACTGGTTATTATATTAGTTTTTTAACATTTGGTTACTCAGAATAAATTTTTAAATATTTTTTTTTATCATATTAATCCTTTAAATATTAAATCACTAAATTAGTCCTTTAAATATGAATTTTCACTAAATTAATGTACTAATTATTTCTTTACACTTTTAATCTTTCATTTTAAATTTGTGAGAAATTAATTTGGTGACATATTTAATCTTTTGAGAGATTCATTTAAGGATTAAATATTTTAAAGAAGTGGTGGGGACAAAAGAAAAACTTAAAATAATCATTTTAAAAATAATAGTGTAATAACGAATTGTTTGTGGTGAAATTTGTTTATGAGTTCTTTTTATTCAAACTAGCACGAAACTGTTTCAATTTAGATATTTGACGTTTTGAACTTTAAAGCATAAGAAAAACGGAGTAGAAAGATTAATAATTACTTGTTTCCAGAGTTTCATTAATGAATATTAAGTAATAACGTTCGTGCACGTAAATACTCAAACGAACAGAATGAACAATCAATACATTGACAATACAGATCATAGTTCATTTCACATAAAGATCCAAGTACAAATGAGGATTAAACTAACTACGAATTGAAACTAATTACGAAACTAATTACACTAATCCTAAGAAAAGCAAGGAAATGTGGTCAAGAAATTAGTACCCAACAATCACATGCACAGAAGCCATATGCGCAGGCAGAGTGCTTTCAAGAGTGCAAGTATGAAATTTCTGACCTTTGTACATGAGGTCGCTTCTTCTATTTATAGACATAATCGAGAGCGGTTTATTTTTTGTGTAAATCCATCGTGGGCGCATGGCCGCTATCCACTACATCATTTACGTGGCTTAAAATGTAACTCCTCGTAACCGTTCGTCCGACGTTTTATTTCCTCGATTCGACCTTTAATAACCATCTTGGTATGCCTTAACTGTCACAAACCCTCAGTAACTTCCTTTCACATATTCGAGCAATCCTCGAGTACATGTGTTTATAGTTTTTGATGTTCCTTCTTGGCATATGCTTCATCAATCAACTCTTTCGAGTGACAAATTATTTTTTCGATTTTGAGTGACCCTAACACGAATATATTTTTGGAGAAAATAAATGAATGCTTAATTTATCTTTCAAAATAAGTTTTACTATTTTTTATAAACTAAAAAAAAAATTGACATGAGGATTTTAATCCCAAATCCTTCACCTCGAATATCCTAAGCCCTTGTGGGGTATCTATATATATATATAACTCAAGTGAATAATAATGCAATTAATATTAGAGGAAAATGTTTACATTTGATGTGTTTTGGTTACTTATACGACTCTTCTTGAAAGTAGGGTGTTATTTCTTGTGTAATACTACTTGCGGTGCCTTTAAGGTCAATCTCATATTTTGTGGTGTTCATTAATCATTATTAGTTACCATCAAGTAGTGTTCATGATCCTATGATTCACGTCTATACATAGGAAAATTCATGAGAATTGAAAAGTGTTGGATTGTAGTAACGTAATTAGACTTTGCACCATTGGAACATGTTTACTTAATTGTTTACATACCTTGACCTAAATAGCGTAGCCAAATCCAAAACACTTTTAATCTTCATTCATAATAACACGTAATACTTTCTATTGTAATCTTAAAACTCTTACCAAAACAAATTCATTGAATACTATTATATATGGTTTCTTAATTGTCACCATCATACAGAAGCAAACAATGCGAATATATTTTTTTTGGTTTTTTTTTTTTTGGATCTTTTGGCCTGGGATACTCTTTTTTATAGTAATAACTTCTTTTCGTCAACTAACAATATGCAGGCCAGAGAAAACTATGATGGAAATAGATTCTGTCTTTAATACATCATTGTCATGTGCACAATATTTCGACACTTTTTTGGTGTTTTCCTAAACGACCATAATTGATGAACCTGAAAATTTTTGTTCAACAATTTATTTCTCCTTTTATTCTGAGTTTGGGTGAGTAATTATAAA